GCGGGCGGCTGAGGGCGGCGGGGGCTGGCGTGCCAGGTAGCGGCCCCTCCAAGCCGGCTGTGTCCCTCTACTCCCTGTCCCTGCTCCGGAAGCTGGTGCCGGACACCAGCACCTGCCAGGAGAGCCCCGAGCCCTGCGCCGCCCGCGCCGGGACCTGCCTCGCAGACACGGACAAGCTGCCACGGACAGGACCCAGCAAGGACCATTAAATGTTCCCCGGAGCAGAGCGCTCTCCCCGCTATGCACTGCTGTAGGACCAGGCCAGCTCCTACCGCACGGCACGCACCCGGCCCAGGGCAGGCCATCGCCTTTGTGCCCCCACAGTGGGATGTGAGGGCAGAGGAGCAGCCCTGGCCCAGATGCCACAGTGCATGTGGGGGTCTGGCTGGCCCGGACCCACAGGGGTGTGGATGCAGAGCCCCCACCGGGGCAGGGTCCCCAGCTCCGTCTACGCGACGGGCCCAGCAGCTGGGCCTGTCAGGGCTTTTTTGCTGCTTCCCAACCAGGGTCCAGCTGGCTCAGGCATGCCTGGTGCGCTGCGGAGCCAGGGCAGGATGAACCCACATTCAGGGATGCCCCGAGTCCGTCTGGGGGGCTGATACAGAGGCGCAGGGAGGCGAGGTGGGGGAACGAGTTTCATAGTTTCATAGTTTCAGGGTCGGAAGGGACCTAATAGATCTTCTAGCCCGCCCCCCCGCCAGGGCGGGAGAACAACCCAAAAAAAACTCACCCTAAAAACAAAAACGGGACTCAAATGAGTCCAGCCAGGTAGGTATCCAGCCTCTTCTTAAAGACCCCCAGGGTAGGGGCCAGCACCCCCTCCCTTGGAAGTTGGTTCCAGCTCCTAGCCGCCCTAACTGTGAAGTAGTTTTTTCGGATGTCCAATCTGTACCTCCTCTCCATCAACTTGTGCCCATTACTCCTTGTTATGCCAGCGGGGGCTAGGGGAAACAGCATCTCCCCCAAACCCTTCTGGTTCCCCCTAGTGAGTTTATAGACGGTCACCAGGTCCCCCCTCAGCCTTCTCTTGTGGAGGCTGAATAGGGTCAAGTCCCGCAGTCTCTCACTGGAGGGTCTGCCCTGTTGTCCCCGGATCATGCGGGTGGCCCTCCTCTGGACCCTCTCAATGTTGTCCACATCCCTCCTGAAATGGGGCGCACAGAACTGGACACAATACTCCAGCTGCGGCCTGACCAGCGTCGCATAGAGGGGGAGGATCACCTCCCTGGCTCTACTCGAGATGCACCTGTGGATGCACGACAAGGTCCGGTTAGCCCTGCCAACCATGACCTCGCATTGTCGGCCCACGTTCATCTTGGAGTCAATAATGACACCAAGATCCCTTTCCGCCTCCGTGCTCTCAAGTAGGGAGTTCCCCATCGTATAAGTGTGCTGCTGGTTCCTACTACCCAAGTGCAGCACCCTGCACTTGTCCGTATTGAAACGCATCCTGTTCCTGTCTGCCCACCCCTGTAACCTATCCAGATCCTTCTGCAATCTCTCTCTCCCTGCTAGCGTGCTCACCTCCCCCCAAATTTTGGTGTCATCAGCGAATTTAAACAGGTTGCTCTCCACCCCAGCATCAAGATCGCTGATGAAGAAATTGAACAGCGCAGGCCCCAGGACCGAGCCCTGGGGGACTCCACTACCCACCTCCCCCCAAGTCGAATATGATCCATCCACCACCACCCTCTGAGTTATGTGCAGGCTTGGGACCACACATTTCAAAAGCCCCGTGAGGCACCTGGGGAGCAGGACCCGGGGGCTAGCTCTCCGGGCGACACGAGCCCTGGCCCAGCACCAGCTCCTGCCCACAGCACAAGGCACCACAGCCGGGCTCAGCTCAGAAACACTCGCTTTATTCCCTGCAGCGCCCGGCCAAGCACGAGGCTGAGATGCCCACAGCCCGGCCCCAGCATGTGGCCACCCTGCACCCACGGCCCCCCAGGAGCAAGCAGTGGGGCAGCTCCTGGGTGCAGCCGTCCTACAGCCAGGCACCCCCAGGGCCCAGGCTGGGCCACGGCCCCCGCAGCACAGGGCAGGAGCAGCTCCTGGAGCTGGGAGCTGCTGCAAGGAGCTGCCACGGGGTCAAGTCACCAGCCAGGGCCTGGCTGAAGCCTCCAGCCTCTCCCCTGGGCGCAAGGGGAGCGCTGCTGAGACCAGGGCCCCCAAGGTCATCTCACAGCTATGAGCAGAGGCAGGCGAGGGGGGCCCAGGGAAGGACCCTCACACCCTGGCAGCTCCCAACCCCGGCTCCTGGCTGCTTTGCGGGAAGGGGCTGGGTCCTCCGTGGGGCATGATCCAGGCAACGAGTCCCGGTGCGTAGGGGCCACGCCAATCACCTTGACAGCCCCTGGGGGCAGGTCTGCGCCCCTAGCGCCTCGCTCCGCTCCTGCTGC